ATGGGTGTGGGGCAAAATAGATAGTTTTTTAAAAGTGGGAAACTGTGTCTTTTTCCCAGTAACTCAACATGCCAAACTTCAAACTTTGCAGCTTTACAATGTAGAATATGGGTTCTAGAACATATTTCAAAAGCCTGAGAGTTATCAAGTAAATAAGTCTAGAAATCAGAACCATATTCTGAAACACAACCATGCATCAGAAAAAGTGCATTTTATTGTTTGAAACCGGTTTTCCAATTGTTTTTAATTATAGAACTGAAGTAACAGTGAGCATCTCCATATTCACAATATGCCATGAAATACACTGAATAGTAAAACTAAACTGAAAAATTATATATATAAAATCAAATATTAAATTTATGTGGTGAAAGGGGATATTTTCTACATCACTATTATAACTCCGGAGCTGAACACATCGATTGCACTCGAACACAATGCTTACAGGAGTCATGAGTGGGGCAGTACACACATGACACTCGCAACTCTGCTGCTGAGCTGAAGCTAACTCTGTGCCATCTGTATCTCCTCCTCCTCCAATTGCACCTTCACCCACAACATCAGGTTCTAATGGAGATTCTGGGGGCTGCTCACTGCCCTCGCCCTCGACGCGATACTCTTGTATGACATCCACTTTATGACTGTAACAAGAAAGAAAATATATGACTTTTTAGATTTTCACAGTAGCGAAAATTCCAACTGTGCTATTCTAGATTATAAAGCCATGTAGTTTTATAGGTAATTACAAAAATTTTGGAAGAACCAATCTACTCCATCTTCTGAGCAGAAATATAGATGGTAGCAAATGGAACCTCTGTAATGTTGGTAACCACCTAAATGCAGACTATTATAATCCAAAAAGGAGCAAAACAATTTTTGTTCACAACCATCTAGTACCTGTACAGTGGGCCTGGGGAGTCGGGTGGTGTGATGAGGCCACCACAGGTCAGGAGATGAGTGACAGCACACTCATCACATGGACAGCCCCTGCGAGAGCTACAGCCAGGGCAGTACCCTCCTGTACCTCCAACATCATCAGGGCTACTATCTCTGGGACTACCAGGTCCAGGACCTGGTGAAGGCCCACCAAGACTAGCCAGCGTCATCAACTGCTCATCAAACTCTCGGAGTTCACTGCAAAAGGACAACCGCAATTTTATACGCACCTTTCTCTCATTCGTATACATATACATGCTGCCCACAAAGACAACAACTTCTGTGGCCGTCTGTTAGTCACTGCTCACTGCTGTCAACTGTGCCATAAAGCAAATGGTGTTCATTTTGAACACCTACACTAGATTCACTAAGTGCCATTGCTGATGTATACAATGGTTTAGTTTATTAAAATGTATTTTATTCACTGAATGTGAACATACAGCTTTTTGGGACAACTTGTATATCAAGAACACTGAATCTGGTTTAGATAAATCAAAAATCAATATGCAAATAAAGAGCCTAGATGGGGTACTGTTGCCTGATTTTCAATATTCTGAAAACTAAAGCACAGGAGACCTTTTCAAGTTTTCATAGTTACCACAACACAAAAGTGTTTAATCATGCACAATCCATGCATAAATTTAAAGCATTATGCACAAGAGCACCATCTGTTAAATTCCAGGCCAAACTAACAAAGCAGATAACATTGGACATTTTATTCTCTTGCTTTGCGGT